AGGCCCATTTTCAAATGAAGGAAACGAATTTCTTCAACACCAAGAGGCCGCGGGGGTTGCAACCTAGATAGATAGTGGTTTCTGAACCTCGCCGCAAACTTAGCTATCTCAACTCAAACCCCATGTTAAAGGTGGGATAGTCCCTTTAACCAATAATGTTGAAATTATTTGCTCTTTGTCAGGCGATAGTTGATCCGAGTGAGCGACAAATGTGTCTAAGGTTTACACAGTGATTGATATACCTACCTAATAAACGGTTTTCAAAAGGATATAATGCAATTAGGTACAGCCCTCTGCAAACTGCGTGGTAGGTATTCTTTTTTTCGACAAAACCGAGAATATCGCGGATACTATGCTATCGGTCACTCGGAAATCGTAACAGCAAGACGCGCGAGACTCCGCACCTTAGATGGGCATTACCATCGTATTCATTTTCCATCCAGTTTGGCAACAAAACCCAAAAGTTTATATTTGCCCCCAAAACAAACTGTTGCATTTTGTTGCCACATAAAGCATATACTTTGTTTAGTGATAGACCCAATCGAAGGAGTGGAGCATGGTGCCTCTATTTGCAATGAATTCCGACCGACAGATCACATAGTCTTTGAGTTATTACCGGTTTTGTCGAAAAAAGAATACCTACCACGTAGTCTGCTGAGGGCTGTACGTGTATCAACTTTTTAGAGAAAGGTCTGAGGCGTTCTAGGGAATAAAAAATCTTCGGGTCGTAAAAAGTGGCTTTAGGAAGCTATTGTATATCTATCAGTATCTATAGATTAAACACAAAGGGGCTACACATTCGTAATTTGTGTGTGCTGCTATTATTTCCTGTCGGGTCTAGCACTAAACTCTTCACACCAAGTCCTATCTCACCTTGCATGTGCATGTTAACACACGTGGATAGCTTACCTAGCGTGATGGTAATTTCTTTGCTCGGTTATTCCTCTGACCTTGGGTGCCATCGGCCACCTTGGCGGCAGATTTTAGTGTATCCGATGAGCACCAAAGACCCGTTATATGCTGACCTTGTGATTTAATATAGGTACGGGTGAGCTGGCAGCGCAGTGAGGAATATCACAGTCTTACTTCCTGGGCCGACGACATGCGATATATGTTAATGTATACGGTGCATTTGTGATATTTATGTACAGGCGGCACGACAGAAGAAAGGACAGCAGGAAGGACCAACCCCAGCACTATATGTAAAAGGCAGGAGACTAAACGTGTTTTGAAGAAGTACTATCATTCAATGTTTTTGCTTGCAAAATCATTCAGCTTAGCCTGCACCGAAGAACAGCTGGCAGTCAATACAAACAAATACGTTCAGGTGTCTCTAAAACACATTGCCGCCACAAAACGCTTATCATAAAACAAAAATCAGCAGAAAGTCATGGTCTCCCACTGACAGCACCCTCAGCATTGTTGATCCAGCCGCGTCATGTCCCTCGCCTGTCCTTCGTGCAGTTAACACTACAGATCCGTATCGACCGTCCTATATTTAACCAGCAGCACGTCCCCATGTCCCACCACGCTCTGAATAGGACGGTCAAACTTCACCACCGGGGCGGCGGCTGGTGTCGTTTCCTGTTATGTTAGTCCAGTTGTAGCCACCGGGCGCTTTAGTTTTAGTGAGCTGGATATAGTGTGACCCTTCGGGCTCCATCCCCTACCCCTTCTCGACGCCATGAGGGAGGAGGGGGGGATTCGTCCCGTCCTGCAGTTCCCTGCACAGTGCACTGTATGTTGTGCACCGGGCACATTGTGCAAGGCGATATCTGTTTGCCGCCGGCCCTGTGCGGTGCCCTCTCAGCTTTGAAACGATCCGAGGACGTCCGATCGAAATACACTGATAAGTCAACAAAAACGACTCCAAATCTCTGGTGACCTCAGTCAGACAAGGCGCAGCTAGAACGGCTCTGACGCATAGGATGTAATGGCAAACGGAATGTGATCACAAAAACTTCAAATACTGTGATTATTATTGCTTGATTGCTTGATATAGACGTGATTGATATGTTGCTTCCCTGTAAAAAAATGAGATCTAATATTACCTACTTATTTAATCAAAGTGCATGACCGTTTATCAAATGATTAACTATACGCTCGACATAATTGATGCTCAACGGCTCACGTCTCGGAAGTAAACTTTAATGTCGAAGGTCCCGAGTCCGAAGGAATGCCAATGGATACAATTCCAGAGGTGTGGTCCGTTGATGCTTACCACGTTTAAAAGGCATCTCACGAGTGTAAACTAGGTGAGGCCCGGACCCGGTAGCGGCTCTAAATTCAACGGAGCTCGCCAACACCTTCATTAATACGGTCCAGGGAGCTTCTCACAGCTTCAAGTGTGCCGTTTGATTTTAACGTTATTCTCGCGTAGCGTTTAATGCATCCACCGGTTTTTGGCGGACTAATTAAACCGGGCCGTCATCGTAGGAAGCGTCCGACGTTCAACGAAATGACTGCACCAGCTGAGGTCAGTGTTCCTGGAGGCTTTCAATGGAGTGGCATGCTCTTCAACTTGAGAAGCCACGTCGTTAATAAGAAGCTGAATCAAGGATAGGAAGCGGTATATAAATAATGTATTCCGCGAGATACGACCCAGTCGGGATTCATCGAAATCGACGGAAAGTTGGCCACACTTTTGTCGACGGTGGACAATGTGGCCCACACTGTCCTACCCGTGAAGCCGAGAGGTGGATTAGATCAATGACCATTGACCAGCGCTGAATTCCCGGGAGCTTGTTTGCAAGGTCACGACCAGTCCAGGTCGCGCGGCAGGGGAGGTATAGAACGGAGCCTGCTGCTGATGGCTCCACAGCTGCGCTCTAATGAGCTCACACCAGTGGTTGCGCTTCTGACACTAGGCGGGCGTTATTGCTGTGAAACTAAACGATGATCTGCAGCGGCTCACTATGAAATCTCTCGCCATGTGATACCTAGATTGGTAAACGAAAAACTGAGCTCATTCTTGTGGGAAAATGCCGGAAATATTATCATGAATGGCGAGCGCACTCAGAAGGCAGTGGCAAGCAACAAGTCGTGTTTTCGACCTCAAATAAGCAGCACCATGTCTCGTAATTACTGTGTCTTGCTGATATGGACCATGACGTCAACCAATGCACGTGGCTGTCAGCTCCAGGCAGCGGACCTCGCTGGGCGACACTAGCGCCGCTCTGCGGCCACTACAGACACTAACCGTTCAATGCAGCCGGGCCGACCGCCACCGGGCGGTGAATGAATTAAATTGCAAATTGTTGACGCAAAATGTGCGTTATCGATGGCGACTTTGCCAGCGATAAATTATGGTCCCCGCTTACCCTGTCATCTGCACAGGAAACTTGTTAAAGGGCGATAGAATGGTTGTGTAATGTGTAGCACGCGAGGCGAGAACCGAGCTCCCACATTATAACCGATTCATAGACCAAAAATCGCTGGCCTGAGTCGACTGCATTTGAACCACGACGGTGACCCGTCTTTCCAATTCATCAGGGAATTTTTGTCCCAAGTAAAAAGCCCTTCCCTTACCACGCTCTCCGACTGTCCTGACCTCACCTGAGGGCGCCAGACTGGACAGTTACCGGCAGTAGACACCAAAATGAAGGACTTCTTTTGGAGCAGTTTCCCGATGCAACCACGGCCAAAACTGGTGGCCGTTTGAGACAAACGCCTCCCCATTTCTCTCTCATTCATAATACACCAGCGTGTCAGAAACTCACACCTAACAAAGTTCTGTCCCGAGTCTGACAACCCGTTCTATTTCTGTCAGCCTGGCACAGCCGTTCCCATTTCTGAACATCGTGATCCACCCATCTGCCCCCCCCCCCCCCGACCCACTGGGTCGATATAAACCGGACAGTGACCTCCCGTCCCCCGCTCCCTCCCCCCTCGGGCGCCGGTCGCCAGTTCAAGGTCAGGGGTTAAGCGAAGCAGACCGCCCCCCCCCCTCTCTCCATCCCCCGCAGTGACAGGGGGGTGGGGTACGGTACGGCTGGCGATACACTGGGCACGAAGTTCCCTGTGACCTATGAAGATGACCTGTCTCTGTCTGTTGGACTTCGGAGGCCTGGAAAATGCACGTAACTTACGGAGTATGCCTCGTAATATTTTTATTTCTTTGTCTAGGAATGGAGACACTGAAAGTCTCGGCACTTGCCGAATAACAGAGGTTCAACGCATCCAGAATCGCACATGTTTACGAAGAGTCATGTTCGTTGTCTCACTGTTATATCATATCGCTGCAATAAAGACAATGGTTCACCACGACCTTCGCCCTCATTCACGTCTATTCGCGCCGGCATAGCTTTCACAACTAATTCATTTCAGTATGAAGCTGCGCCAGGCGATTGCAAACAAACGACCCAAACAAAGCCAAACCCCGCAGCACTAGCCTAGCCTGTACTGCAGCCTGAATACAGCAATACCCTCCCCTCGTGAGGACCATCTGACCTTGATCGTACCCCCACCCCACCCCCCAGTGCGTGCAGCGTCCCTCCCTCCCCCCCCCCAGCAGGACAGTCGAGTCACTGTCGACTCATCACAGACACAAGGACAGGACGCTAGCAGGGGTAGAGGGGAGAGGCGCGTGCAGGACAGAGCGATTGGGGAGGGGAGGGGAGGGCTCAGGGCATTTCCGGGTCGATGCAATAAAGGGATGGGTTAGGGAGTGATGTACGGTTTTCAGCTGATGAGTTGGCTGTTTGGTGTTGTTCCTTCACGCAGGTTGCAGCGGAAAGTCGGGGATAGAGTTGGTCGATGGCAGCGTAACAAAGTTCAAGAGGACGCAATGAATGGCTGATATATCACCTCATACGTAGACACCTCAAACTGCCACCGCGTGGTTCACTTCACCATTCAATGACATCGTGAAAGATTTGTGTTTGGTGTACCGCTCCCTCGAACTCTCGGTATGTCGTTCCTTAGTTTTCTATACCGCCATACTCGAGCTCGTCCTACTTTACCCGTCAACTGGATAAGTTTGAAGAACAGGAAAAAAAACATTTTCTTTCCGGACCCATCCCCGGACCATAATATGTATTTACACGGAATTGGATAAACATAATAATATTATGTGCAGCACACAGACCGTCATTGCTCTACTAGTCGTCCTGCGAGGCGCTGACGAGGCGGTTTATTTCTACCTCTCGCACGCGACATTCTCCCTTCACCAGAAGCGCAGCAAACCTTTCCACTCTCAACACCCAGCAATATAATAAGCAGCATTATCTCCCGGTGCTCCACAACATATCTCCATCGGCACCGCGCAGCCACCGACATCTAGTGGCGTGCAATCAAACAAACAGTTCAGCACATGACCACCATGGGCGTGTGCGCCGGTTGGCTAACCAGACTCCCGTCGCTGGTGCGACAAGTCCAAGGAAGGTGGGGCCTCTTCGTAGAAGGGTTTTCTAATCCCACCGATATTTTCAGATGTTGCTCATGTGCTCAGGCTGCCAATACTCTTGTGGTTCGTTTTCAACCTGTCGCATTTATCTTGTGAGGCCGCTCATCCCCGCCGCCAGGCCGGCGAAGTGGGGAGGCGGCGCGGTCTGCGCTGCGCCGGACGCCGTCACGGCAGGTGGCGCTACGGTTGCCGCTGCGGTCGAGAAAGGTGTCGCCACCGTCGCTGCAGGTCCGGCTGGGTAGCCGGGGATGTGCGGCACGGAGGGCGGTGGCACGTAGGGCTGAGTGGACGGCGGCACCCCGGACGTCCCTGCAACAGAGACACCGTTAGATAGACGCCGAGAGATATACACGGGAGCACATGAACAGCTAGTGTTCAAGGTTTTACGCAAGCGACATTTCTTATTGGAAGTGAGAACATTTACTTTGAATAGCACGACCAATCTCCGGTGAACGGTTCACCTGAACCTGTTGGAACTGAGGTAACATTGTACAAGTATCATTCAGCAAACAGTACAATAAACATTTCCAGGCTCTCTCGGCCTCGTAAGCACTTCAAAAAAAACTTCGTATATTAAAGCCGATCAATAATCATACGCGATGTGGTATGGGCCATGCAAATGCAGAGATTACGTACCATGCAGACGAGCAGAAAGAGTGAGAGCGAGAGAGATCAGACGAGACGTGTGTAGGCTGCAGGAGACATCTAAGTGCTACGCTATGACATGCGAGGCAAGGCGCCTTCAGGCAAGTCGGGTGCGAAGAGCAATCCGTGAAGCTTGGCAAGGATTTCAGAAGAGACGGCACATTTTACAAAGCAGAGATATCAGAATATTTTGGAACATTCGGGACAATAACATGACTGAAAACGCATGAACAAAAAGAAAGAACACTTTTATAGTCACATAACCAGTTTCAGTACTTCCTTTGCTACTGCCAAAACAAAATCAGCCACTTCATTCGGGCTAAGAAAGCCCCAGAAAGCAGAGAACACATGGTCATAAATAAACAAAATAAAAGCTATGTTCAACATCCATTTTATTAAAGGCACCTTCACAATAAGCACTGCAGCGCAAAACCGATCCCGCAATTAAGTTACCTACAACACCCGACGAAAAAATGCCCAGTGCCCACTTAGCCAAAGTACCAAAGCTACGTGTAAGCCATACTGAGGCGATTCATTCACTAAGAATCATTCAAGTCTGAAGCTGAACAAAGCAATTGCAAAGATCTATGCCTCATAGAGATATTGCAAATTGTCCTTATGGCTCCCAACATCTACCATACTTCCAAAAACACCATGGCATCCGCTCACTTTTCGATGCCACATCCGTAAGATGATCACAAGCAAATGCCCCAGGTTTGAGCCGTTCACATGCGCGAAACAAAAAGAAAAAAAGTTGAAATCGATCAAAAGCATGTCCAGTTTCCGGTCCGTCTAATTTTTGTCACGACTGAGAAAGAAACTAACAGAATGCGATTATGCACAGACACGCCTGGAAAGATAATTGCTGGAAATCAACTTTGATCTAAAGCCTAGCTTTTATGGAAACACAGAAAAGTGTATTGTTATCGATTTCAGCCTGTAAAACCGATTTTTTTTGCGTTTACCATGACAAAACCATTTGTTTCACGATTCTTTGATCGCTTGCGATCTTCCTTAATTGAACCGTATTCTAGCATACGCAGTTCATCTCCCTTGTAGTATCATGCCTCCTTTGCCCCTCGTCTCGTCGGACACACACTCAAAGTGCACGTGCTAGGCTGTAGGCAGAAGCTCGTCAGACTGCACAGCGTCGACACAAGCTTTCTCAGCGGCAGCGCACTCGGGCGACGGTGGCGCCACCTGGGCCGCGGCGGCCGGCCGATAGGTGTCGCTGCCTACTCGCCTGTGACGGCCGTGGCGGCGGCCGAGACTGCGGCGGCGTTGTAAGCCGGTTGAAGAGTGCCGGGTGGCAGCGTGGCGCTCACTGGAACACCAGCACCGCTGTACTCACACACACGCTCAGAGAGACCGGCGGGCTTACCGGCTGACGGCGGCTCATTGACTCACAGTGGGCCGGGGCTCACGACAACTCACCGGGCCCAAACCGAGAAGCGCCGGGTCATTTGCTCCATAAATAGTACAATGGTGACGCTGGTAATTTCGAATAAATTTAGCCCCCAAATCATGAGGCCTGTGGCTAATTGCAGTGACCACACAAAAACATTGTCAAATTAGTGCAGTGTAAAGCCACTTCGATGAAACTGAGGTTTCCGAGATTCATTCATGTTGATACAGGAAGAGAAGTATATGCTAGGTAATTTACATTCACAGGATGTTCCAAAAAAAGTGAGCCCCCAAACTTATATTGCTTTTATCTCCGAAACCGTATGTCCTACGATAATGAGAGACCCCTTGTTGGAAAGAACGGTCAATTTCGGTTCTAGTAGGCTACCTAGTGTGGTTCTGAATGATCACGTATTACACCGAGAACGACCAGAACAAAATGTGTTGCGAGATCGAGTGAAACTTGGCGACGGCGGTATGCCCCGCCTAACTATTATTGCTTTTATCTCCAAAACCGTATGTCCTACGATAATGAAAGACCCCTTGTTGGAAAGAACGGTCAATTTCGGTTCTAGTAGGCTACCTAGTGTGGCTCTGAATGATTACGTATTACACCGAGAACGACCAGAACAAAATGTGTTGCGAGATCGGGTGAAACACGGCGACGGCGGTAAACGTGCATTGCTGACGGCAACGCACGACCGATATTGGAGTGGTCAAAATACTGGTTGAACTAGGTCATCCATTCAGTCTTCATTTTTTTATGATAAAAGTTCACGCGCGAAGAATGAATAAAAGCACGTGAACTGAAATATGCAGTCAGATGTGAAGAAATTTTAACCATATCCGTTACCCCTAAATATTGCACTAAGAATTTGATATTGAATTGTGCTTTTCACAATGCTGGTCGTGTTGTGCAAGCTATGTAACAGAATTACGACCTATCTGGATGGAATTCGATTGCTCTTTCTAATGAGCGGCTTTCCAAAGCTGTAGGATACACGGTTGCGGAGATACAGTCGATCTTAGTTAGGGGGCACACTTTTTTTTGGAACACCCTGTATTATTGAAAAATTCAGTCATGTTTCCTCAGGAAATTTATGCTTAGATTCGTTTCCCAAAAAAGTTGAACAAAATCCTTACAGGCAATGTGAAACATTGGCATGTTATACTCCCGAATTGGTTTAATGAGTGAGCACCTTCGTATACAGCCATTCCAATCACCCACTACTAGTTACAGGGTAAGAAGATCATGCAGCTAGCCTACTTATTAGGGTATACCACATGCTGGAGTCACCTGATCCATACACATTCATACACACTACACAGACTATCCTACACATATACATACACGAATATACCACATAAACCCCCACCGGTTCCAACACCACGATTGGACGTAGCAAACCATACTGAGTATACACAGTACATACAGTCTACTCAGTACATTTACACATGAGGATGCATCCTACCCGCCCAGGTTATAGTCGGTCCATAGTCTGTGAGATAGCCGGGCAGCTAGGAGGACCAAGGATAGAGAAATACAGAGCAATCGATGATTTATAGCAGGGCTGCGGAGTCGGAGTCGGAGTCGGAGTCGGAGTCGGTCGGAGTCGACAGTTGTGACCGGAGTCGGAGTCGGAGTCGGAGCCGATTTTAGAAACCCGAGCCGGAGTCGGAGTCGGAGTCACCGAAAATCTGTCGACTCCGCAGCCCTGCTAGGTCTGCGGAGTCGGAGTCGGGAGTCGGAGTCGGTCGGAGTCGACAATTCTGCCCGGAGTCGGAGCTGGTTTTTGAAAGCCGGAGCCGGAGTCGGAATCGTCGAAAATCCATCGACTCCGCAGCCCTGATTTATAGGAACTCAGACGAAACCATTCAACTTATCCATAAGATTAGCTTCAGAGCATTCAGAGCAGCTTCGGCTTCAGACCTGCCAGGGTTCTAAGCACTGAATTTAGTTACCCGATTAGTGATGCGATGAGGCGTCGTTGCGAATTAGTGGTCGGACCGAAATGGGCATTATTTTGTTGAAGAATCGCGAAATCCTTCATAAAGAATAGGCCTGAATAAGTTCATTCTGGGACCAAGGCAGGGGACAGGAGGCTCAGAAACAAGGGTCAGTGTTAGTGACGGATGTCAAGTCTGATGTTTGAGTCAGATGTCAGTGAGCAGCGTTCAGTGACCAGAGGTCAGTTGTTAGCGGCCAGTGGTCAGCGGTCAGGTCACTGACCTGTCAGCGGCGGCATTCCCGGCAGGCTGATCGGAGTGGTCAGCGGTCAGAGCCAGGTCAGAGGTCATTGGTCAGCGGTCAGGTCACTGACCTGTCAGCGGCGGCATGCCCGGCAGGCTGATCGGGGTGGTCAGCGGCATCCCCGAAATGGTGGGGAGCGGCGCCGGCGGCGGCACAGCAGACACTGACGGCAGGAACAGACGAGGTCACAATACAAGTCAGGACACTGAAACAGCGGACATTGAAGGAAGAAGAGGTGAGGTCACATTCCAGGTCACCGCACAAGACACATCACAGGTCACATTACAGCTCATAGCACGTCAGAGCACAAGTCACAACATAGGTCACATCATAGGCCAGTGCACAACGATCAGTGGGTACACCTGACTGATTTGACCTGACTTGTTTGACAGTGCACCCTGCGGGAGGGGCAGATGAGATGACATCACAGGAGCATGACAGGCCACCACAGGTCAGATCACCAACACGGTGATACTGTTGTAATATTTCACAGTGACATAACAGGAAAACACTGAGATGTTTAAAGTTGCATCATAATCGATGACTCGTGCTACCTATTTTTAGGCCAACTTGGAGGGGATGAGAAGCGCCGTGACCCGTGAAACACTCAGTCAACTGCATATAAAGAGCATTTGAGGAAGACGGCTCGAAGCGTAAAATCCTCTGAGCGACACCGATATCTTCTGACTAGCTCGGTGGCATCACCCAAGGCCCTAAATACAGCATCACCTATGTCGTAATATTACGGCAATATCCGCTCTTTACAGTACGGAAACTGAGTGTACCACCACCGCCCCACGCGCTGAGTGGTGCGAGCGGCACTTCCCGCAGTAAAGCTCAGCTCACACCGCGGCCAGGACCGCTCAGTCCGGCGAGGTTGGTCGTTCACACGTGACAGCGGTAGGCCTAAACCACACCGTACTGATAAGTGTCATAACACGGCTGCTGATGAAATGGACGGTGTTTGAACACGCTACTCCGTGTAAGGAACGGCTTAGCTCCCGCAGCCAAGCCCACCGCCGTCGCTAAACAGTGTTAATCGTACACGAAAAGAGCTCCAATCTGTCCTTGCCAATGCCGACAGCGGGGACCGTATACTGGTGAGAAACGGTTAGTTGGCAAAAACAGCAACGGGACAAAATATGGTAACGATACGTGTTACAAGTCTGGCCATTTTGGCCGAAAACCTCAGTCATCCCAGGGAATTCTCCAAAGCAGCTGGCAGCTGCAGCTGTGCACGTGTAGCCTTGGGCAGGTTGGAACCAGGGAACGGTTTCAGGCCACTACATTTTCAGATACCTGCCTAGTTGATGGCACTACATATTTTGATCGCTATCAGGAAGCCGTCTTAAAATATTTTAGCTGTAGGTACGACGCATGAGTGGATTTCAGGGAATATCCAGTATTAGGATTCTATCAAACATTCGAGCTTTCAAAACAAAGAGTATTTTTCTCTGCATAAACATTATCCTCAGAGACATACGATATGTTCTGTAGTGCACGTAAACCATAATCCACACTGCATTTATTTAGCCTACATATCACACTAATACCGCTAAGGACGCGCCTTTGAGGCGGGAAAGGACACCACAATCGCGACAGTGGGTCGTCAAATAACAGGACCTCGAAGGCTACGGCGGATAAATAGTGAATGGCATGGCGCCTCTGGAAGGTTTAATGCTCACACATCAAAGGCGGAACAGCCGGTGGCAATCCGTGTCAAAAGGTAAAAGAGTTAACAGTGTACGATCGCCAAAAGACCAAAAGAATAGCGTTTGTGTTCGGTAGCACTTTCATAGTAAAATACCAGATCAAAGAAGGAAAGAAAATGGTCAGTCACGTCTCGGTCCTCTCAGTCACGCCTCGGAATTCCTGTAAAACAGGAACCATCGCTACTTGCTGTCGAAAATGGCATGTGTAGAACCTCCTGGTAGCATGACCAAAACTGGAAGCGAAACAATCGCCCGCTGACTGCCCACCTCTGGAGCTCCGAGAAAACTGTGACGCCCAGGCGCAGCATTTGGGAACAGAGTTGGAAATAGCAGTGCCACTAGCAGGAAATAGCTTTCCTTCATTTCTGCGTAAAAAAGTGCAGTGATCTGTTGCATAACAAGTATGTTGAGCGAAGAGGTCTTACCCAATCAGTCATGCGTACGTACCAGATCATTTTACCCGCCTCAACTTAGCAATATCAATCATTCTGCGGTCAAAAGTTACGCAGCTGGAATACCCAGCATCCTGCAGTCCGGAGCGACCGAACTAAGAATCCTTGTCACATCTGACAGAAGCGCCCCACTTCCTCACCTAGAGCTACTTTCACGCTGTCCCCTGTCCATAAGGATGTCGTATTCCCTGTACAAGTTACCGGTTCGCATCTGGGGAGTATTTATATACACTGTGCTGGGGAGGTGGAGGTCTCGTGGTCCGGCCTTGCTCCGATCTCAGATACGATAGGTATGAACATCCCGAACACAGGCCCTATCAGGAACGCTTGTTGGGGTATGTATCAGGGTACCCACCAGAGTGCCCGGAGTGCCTTTCGGAGCCAGTCCCTGAGTTCCTCCCCCGAGTGTCTTGCAGTGCATTTCAGACTACCTCTCGAGTGCCCCTCCGACTCAGAGTGTCCCACTGAGTGTCTCGCAATGGTTTCTCCTGGGATTCCTCTCAGATTGACCACAGTGTCTCCCAGAGTATCACCCAGAGTGCCTCCGGAGTGCCTCTCCGGAGTTCCGGATGTAAGGCGGCGTCCCCAGACCGTATCCGGAGTACCACGAACATAACACAGGAGTGGTCAACCATCGCTGATGTCACACTGTTACACTACGAGAGGACATAAACGGCGCCCGTATGCAACGTTCGAGCTGCCGATTATGCAGCAGAGGCACGATGATAGAGCTGCAGGTTTTCCGGCTGGGCGAGCTGAGGTTACACAAATATTGCAGTGCTGGACCGATTGCTGAAATAGTTACATATAAATTAAATTGCGGCTGAAGGAAACGAGTTTCAATATGAAATCAGACAATAACTTCCTTTGTCATCGTTAGTTCCCATCAACAACAACCATTAAAACCGTCAACTATCCCTAATAGCCAATATCCTCCGCACTCCACCATCCCAAAACCCGCAGCTCGAGCTCACATCCGGCCCTATGCGACCCACTCCGACTGCTGATGAGTTGTTTAATACGACGGAACCGTCCATCACAGGGCTACCGTACAATCCTATCGGCCTATCTGATCTGTTCAGTGACAGTGCCATGGCGGGGCGAGTCTCACAACACAGGGACACGCGGCAGCAACGCGCGTCCGTTCCTGGAACCACAGTTAGATGCGGCACGTGTATCTTCAAGGGCAGTTTATGTAGCCTTGTCAGGGTCGATGCATAGTGCATGTATGTAGAAGGTTTACCATGACGTCCGGATGTAACCGTTGCGTATCTCAAGACTCAACGGCAGTGATTATGAAGTTGATCAGTGCCATGTGGTCGTCTCAGCTGATCCTTAGAAGTAAGGACAAATTGCTATTGCTCCAATCGTGAAAGAAAACGTGCGTCAATAATTATAGGCTACGCGCCCCTCTTTCATTTCGTTTCTTCGGTTGCATGCCGTTCACTCTCCAATGCTGCGCTGTGACCAAACAGCGCTCTCAAAGAGGCCCTGCCAGCTGATCGCCGAATTTTCGCACGGGTTAACCACAGACGCTGGGGATTCCTGCGGATTAGAGATCATCCAACCGCTAAATCTGCGGCTCCGTGGCCCTCCTTTTGTACCGTTACTTCGGCACACATTGAACCGAGGACCGCCTGCCGCATGGAGGGGGCTTGGGGAAGACGGGCCCTATCGCCGCGCAGGAACAGCAGGCAGTGTTAAAAGATGTGAAGTAGAAAATAAAACCAGACGAAGGGCAGGCGGCAACTGAGGACTGACCGAATGACAGAAACCTAGTGACAGATGATGGTTTCCGAGACGACCTCATACTCAGATACTGACCGAGTACAGACGTTACTAGAATCACAGCTAGCTGTTTCACTTCACTTGCACCTCCAAGACATCATAACTGTCCAAGCTGTAGTCAGCCTGCTTGACATCAAGCCATGCAGCTGAAGCTCGCCTATGATCCCTATCTTCGGTAGGTGCGCCGGCCCATATACCACATTCACACGGGCCCGTCACGATCAGAGTATCCATTTCTGCATCTTCGGAGCCGGGGTTGGCGGGAAACCACCCCGCCTGGCCGACCTGCCGAGATACAGTACACTCACGAATAAAATACCGTGGATAAATCACGACATTTGCATAAGCAACTTCGCTCAGATCTGTCTGAGGATGTGAAAAACAATGTCACTTAAAGGGACCCTCCCACCTTAACATTAGATTTGAGTTGAGATAGCCAAAATGGGGTCCCTGGCTCACAATTACCGGTTTCGGCACTCACAACATCGAGAAATGCTTTAAATAGGAAATATTGAATTTCAAAATTGCAGCATTTTGATTCAGAGGGGCTAATGCATAGGAATACCCCTCTGAATGTGTGACGTCAGCGCAGATATCTAACGATTTTTAAATGTTTGACTAAAACGTTTTGTAGCACGCGGTGGTATATGCTGCTTTGCGCGCAACAAGTGCCGCACTTTCAGCTGCCAAACTATTGCTTCCAAATAAAGTCGCTAGGAACAGCGGAGATCCCAAAAAGTAAACAAAAGTAAAAGTCTAATATCTTGAAAACCGGTGAATATTTTTCGGTGAAATTTGGTAGATATTCGTCTTCGCTCTTTCTGAACCGAGCGACATCACTTTCATGCCAATTCATAAACTTTTTTGAATGTGGGAGGGTCCCTTTAATAACTCTTTCACGAGAATCGGCACATCTTGAATAAATGGGATTACGCTCTAGGTAATGAATAAAACCAATCATACTTCAATAGCCCACACATTTTGAATATTGCATTTATGAACAAATGGCAACTCCAGGACTGCCTCCAAAACTTCGACGAAGTAACAAAAAATTTCAAGCCGACAGAGCTGTCGTATGTACTTCCCTTCTCCGGCAAAGCTCCTGAGCCCAGTGGCTCCTCTACTCTCCACGTCAAAGCTCCATCCTCCTCTCCTTTCAGCCAAAACTCCCGTCTCCCTCCCCGGGCAAAACTCTATGAACCCTCCCCTTCCCGGCAAGGTGCGGAGGAGTGACGCTAGCCGCCTCAACATTACATCAGAAGTCGCCGCCCCCGCACGCCGCCGCCGCCGCCGCCGCCGCCGCTGGCTGCTGCGGTGCTGACGGTAGGGTGAAACATCACGTGATGGGTAATTATAGGTGGAGAGGTAGGTGTTCACGTGATCGACAGGTGCGCAGTGGGCACTGGTCATCTTCGGTGGAAAAAGGAGAGAGAGAGAGAGAAATATGCTCCACATGAAATTCATGACGGAGTGCGCCATTGCTTGGTGCCAAAAAGTAGGTAACGGCAAGGAATGGCAAGGATATACCTGATCAGCAAGTTCAAAGGAAGAGTTTCTGTTGTTCAATTATCTTATTTAGGTATCATTATCTTTGCATCTTGCAGGATTCGGTTGCTGATAATAATCAAATGTTCGCAATGGTTCCGGTGGACCCGGAGATATCAAGACGGCAGGCTACAATAATTAATCAAACCACCTGTACTTATCACTCTAACTGTCACAATGCTGATCAGGTATGACGTCATCCTATGACATCATTATGTCGCTCTCTCACGGGTCCGTCTGTCGTCACCGACATAGATGACCGATCGGTCCGGGAGCCATCACATGACCTCAGCTGGTCGCCAGGACCGTTTGGGACCGACATCCCAGATCCGCTTAGATCACTGATACCGACCAGAGATAGCACAGACTGCGTGTAAAAAGCACGCCCGCGCGGAGTGACAGAGCTGGGTTGATCGCAAAATTCACGCCCCCGGACCGTCTGAGATTCAGCTATCGATCTGTGCTAACAAGATGTCTCGTCACACAGGAAAACACAAACCCACACATCGGTGCGATAATCGCAGTGATGACATGTGTGTTGATCATTAGTTTGGTGTTATAAAACTGGTATCAGATCAACTTCATCCTGCCAAGCTTTCCAAATTGTCTATCAATTTCTCTGCATCCTTCGGTCTGCCCTCGGCCTTACTCCTAATTAAAATAACACACAGAAAGAAAAACGAAAGAAAAGACATCACAACACAAACTGCGTCCCGTTATCAAAATGTAGTGACCTAACGTAGCGTTCCTTTCCAGAGGTCTCCAGAGCTGCCTTGACTAACGTTTCTGGACCAAAACCATTCACCGATTCTAACCATCCACGTACGAACGCCCTAGTGTATACCCTGTAGCCGCCACTCGTGTTTGAACATCTAACGTGACGCCCGCAAAGCCACTATTGGGTGTCTTCCTTACCCACAACGGTAGTTGGCCGCATTCAGCCGCTCAGAAAGGTAGCCAGGGGAACTACACTTCCAGACACGCGTCGTAGATAGAACCACGTACCGCGAAATACTGCGGTAAGGTGCCGCACAGAAGCACATTTTTGGGCCCAAGAATCATACGCTCATGCGCTCTGGGCTATTGTCGCGACTTTTAAAAACGTAAGACGTAGTTCAAAGGGCGGTTTACAACCACAACAAACACAAACAAACAAACAAAATCCACCTAGCGTGACGCCGTTTCCGTCAGATCAGTGTTATGTGTGGTGGGCATGTGCCGAATCGATAGCTATAAGCCACCTTACCTGGGAAGAGTTTGGTGAAATTACGTCCACCTTGACAGAGGGGCGGAACATAACGTCACACGAGTACAAAAGAACATTACACAATCCCAAAGAGATTGATGCATGCAATTCATGACATAACAAAGTAGTTTCTCTCGATCTCATATCTTCCTCAGTAAAGTGTTAACCCGTAAAACACAGTCCGACATTCAGCGTCGCCCCACCCCCGTGTCGCCCGCCGAGGAGACTGACCTGGCGCGGCGGCTGCGAACGGGTCGGTCGCTCCGCCGGCCGCCGGCGGTGACGTGAAGAAGCCAGGGCTGAACGCGGGCACGGCGGCCACCGTCGGCACGGCTCCCATCTCAGTCGGGTGGGCCGGGGCGGCCGGTGCGGGGGCGGCCGGGGCCGACGGAGCCACGGCGGTCTCAGGAGCCTGTGGATGGTGCAGAGAACACGTTAGAATGAGCTACAGAACAGTTACAGAATAGGGAGCAGGGTAAAGCACAGGGTGAATCAGGACGCATAACAGAAACGAAAGCACCATGACAAGGTAAATTAAATACCATAACAAGGTAAAACGAAAGTCGAAGCGTATACCAAAAAAGGCACACGAACATAAGCCAAAGTACAGTTTAGACATCCAGCGTGTTGTTTTGTTTTGACACATTGCCAGAAAAGAATCACCCGAAACAGAGGTATGTGTCAGGCGAGGTGTTATGTCCGCCATAACCCACGCGATGCATATTCCGATTCGGCGGATCAAAAGGTAGCGGTACACCGTTTCTAGTACGAGCTATCCATCAATGTTCTTGTCCGGGCCCGATCAGCCGACAAGGTCGTCCAATGCTGCCGCACGCCTGCCGCCGCCATCGAAATGTCCATCTCTGGAGCCGGTACGATGTCCAAAGCTCAGCGCTGAAACCTTTCTAGCCCGGCACGGACCGTTCCAAACACACGAGCATTAAATAGGCGGCCGCTAGTTCACCAGCACTCAGTCGCACTCGCAGCGTACCGGCTTCGCTAGGAAGCGGCGGTGAAGACGGGGAATGATCAATGATCATTATTGAATGGTTCTAGCGTTCTGGCGTGATTTGCGCATCGACATACAGTGACCTGACACAAACCTCTGCGTCGGGCTACGGCCAGTGACGTCGAGTAGCGATGGACCGAGACCAACTATGTAAGATAGGCAAGAGGGCATGCTAAGGCTGGAAAACCAGCGGCAAGCTAGCCGCAAACACCCAGGCGTAGTGGTACCTACCCACGATGCCTGATCAAGCTTCCAGGCGCCTCGGCCCTTTTCGTACTCAATGCACAAGAACGCCAGTTTTTTACGAGTAAACAAAACGGTTTTCAGGGTACATCTAGTTTCGAAATAATGCATCCAATACTTTTACTGATGCATCTTTCGAAGAAATTGATTGGATCTTAGACGATGCCTGTAACTTTCACAAAGTTGATACACAATAGATCATTGATAGCCGGTAACACCTCCCATGCAAAATAGCCAACAGACATGAAAACTGAGCTTCAAGCGGTGCCCACGCCCCTGACTTATTTTCAGAATATTTCACAAACTCCTATATCAAATATCAATCACGTGATGCCTCATACGACACACCATCCGCATTTCGTAACCCCGTCAAACAAATGATGCAAAAACCGCGTCATTTCCATACAATCCACTCCCATCACACACGACACTAATCCACTCGGAGAAACCCGGCATCGTTTCGCGCGTTTCTGCGCCGCCACGTGCCACGTGCCGCCACTGTGCGTCACTGCCTGGCGCCGTGCGTCAGTGATGGCGCAGCGTCAGCTGATCACCACTGACGGATGACCGATTGATCCGCTACCGATCGGTCTGAGCCGCGCAGGGACGTCAGTGGGGTGGGTTTTCCAGCCGAGAGGCAGGTGGGCAGGCGTCACCCCTCTCCGTCCTGGGCAGAGGACGGTTGTGCAAAGGGGACCGACTATCCACAGAGCTGGGAGAAGGGGCGCAGTAGACGTATCTGGACTGAGTGGGGAGCGAAAGGTGGCATCAGAAAGATGGAAGTTTTGGTGATCGTCCATAGTCGTAACACGATTTACGTGCAGTAACCGCAAGATAAACATGACGGCGAAGTGACGAAGCAATTGCGTCAAAAGCGACCTGGGACACAAAATAGATAAACACAAATTAGATAAACACAAATTCACACTTGCACATATGTGAAATGAATCTCGAATGGAGTGGGGACACAGAATGAAAGGTCCACTAAGGCTGCAAAAGGGCGACCTTTGGTCAATGTTTGTGGCCGGCAGATGTTTCAAACTCTAATTATCGACCCCCGTTCAGTAGTCTCTCGCTCAGAGGACGTCCACGCGACCGGAGCGTTTAGCCACGTGTCAAGGCCGGTCACTAGGTACAGAGTACACACTGTCCCACATATACTCGTCAGCCGGCCGCTCCCCAGCCCGTTGTGCACCCGATCTACCGCTTCAAACAGCCGTACAACGCCACTCAATAATGACAGCCCTCACCCCTCCCTCCCCCCGCCCAGAGGGAGAGTAAACACTATGTCACTTGTTATGACAGTGACCATAGTTATGACGATAAGGCAGAGGATGAGAGGAGGAAGAGAGGAGACGGAGGAGCGGCCAAGGTGCGGCGACACACCTTCAGTAGTACGGCGCACCTCCTTGTAGAATGTCTTATGGAGAGGTTTAACGGTACGGTCCGATATAAACAATACTCAACTGACAATCATGGTCATATCCAGCGGTCAATTGACGTCAATAAAACTGAACATGGTCTTTTCGTCACCCAGGAATTCGATATCTTCTTCACGGAATGATGTGATTTATCGAATGGGTAAAAGGTTATGTTGCGTCATATGAAATGCGATGTGATCTGAATCTGACAAAAAACTGACATATACTCCAAGATGATGCACTGATCCAGTAAAGAACTGGGAGGGCGGCATGTTTATCGTATTGACATTTAGCTAGATGGAGGGGATGGCATCTGTCAGCGGACAGGAAAGTGATGCGAGAAATAACGCCATTTTACATCCACAAATGGACCGTCTGGCCTGTCCAACACCTCAATGAATTATTCAACAAACAATATGAACAGTCAATTTCGACCATATTAGTCATAGGGATACCTTCCATCGTTATGTAATGCACAAGGAATAATTAACAGTTAACTTGCACAAAAGCCACGATTAATTTCGATAAACAAGCTCGGCACAGCACGAAAGGGAAGTGTATGTCTTCTTCATTCACAGAAAACCCAGATTATTGTCTAGAAGCTTCTAATCGCGATTGAACAATGCTCACCGTCTGGAATTTCTATGGCGTTTGGTCTGGGACCCACTAAACCCCACAACACAAAAATCCCATCCCGAGGGTACGGATCAACCGAGAGACCGCGTAGGAAACTCCTTAAATATCTTCCCCGGGAATATACGCCCGGTAAAGAACCAACACTCACAAGTTGTTCGACCACCTTCTTATCCTGCCCCTGAAATCGAAAGGTCAAAGGTCGCAGCATGTTTTGGTAGACCAGCAATTAGCCTCGCGAGCTCTCTTTCCCTCTCTCCCTTTCTCCACTCACACACAAATCAGTCAAGAGGCCACTCATCAGCGTTGGTACCTACCGGTGGCTGCTGTGGAGCCGCTGGCGCCGGTGCCGCTGAGGTCGCCGGCATCGGCGGCGGCTGGGCGGCGGACGGCTGCTCCGTCCCGGCGGCGGCGGCGGGGGCGGGGGCGGGGGCGGTCGGCGCCGCCGCCAGCTGAACCGTCTGTACGTTAGCGGCCGGCGGCGGCGGCGGCTTGCGTGCGGCCTCCACGTTCGGAATGCGGTGCAGATAGCCGTAGCCAATGCCGCAACCCAGGCTGGGGAGGAGGGGTCTGTTACAGACACTGAACACAATGGGAGGTGTCGGCACAGCGCACGAAGGGAGGTCGTGTGGTCAGCGGTGGATGGAAGGCACCAGAGAACACGCCAACATACAATGAGGAACAGATGCAAGGAACGCACGCAAATGCTTTAAATATAGTCGACTTCTGAGAATGTATGCCTTACTTAGGTGCCTGCAACTTACTTGTAGGAGAAACGTCTAATTATGGCACTTTCTATGCATCTCCGCATATTTTTTAGAACGATGACCCCATTCCAGGTATGTCTATCTACTCAAAAGGTTTAACTGTTCCTGGAAGGACAATCCTTCCGAATAAACATTATTCTAAGAAGGAACATTCTTGAAAAATAGAAACAAACAGCCTTTGGACAAACAGACAGACTTTGGAAATGCGACCCTGTTCCAGAAAAATCATATACTGCAGCATCTCAGTTTACTTATTTACTTATCCATAGAATGCATACTCACTACTCAGGCACTCCTGCCATTGCTCTGTACAAAATACCTCACCCCTCTCTCGCCTTTCCTCATCCTTCTCACCTTCCCTCTCCGCCCCACTGGGAATTGGGCGTAATGGTGACCTCCCTGCACGCGTCCAGGCCCGAGTTATAGACGAACAGCTTCAGCGGCTTGCCCTCGTGCGTCTCGATCAGCTGGAAGAGGTCCTCACTCTCGTGCAGCATCGAGTCGGCGCCGATGATGTAGTCGGTGTGCGCGTGCAGGCCGGCCAGCTCCGCAGGAGAGTTGGGCTCCACCTCCTGGAAACGCAGGAGAGAGGTTTGTGAGAAACCCTTAGTTATGTGATGGAAATAAAACACTTTTGTGTTACTAGTAGGAGCATCAACATCGGACACTTGATAGTTCATACCTTGGACACTATTGGATATCGGCACCATAGTTCACTAGCACCGTCCGCATTGCAACCGGCTAAAATAGATGCGCAAGATCAATTCATAGACCAATTAACACTATCAAAGAAAAAATCAGCCGTCATTCACCCAACGGGCATGGCGAGGTGAATCGGTGTGGGATGCCTAATTGGTATAGGTTTGACGGAAGGATGAGTAGTTCTGACGCACGAGTCAGGTCCGTATCAGGAAGCAGGTTCACTTTTCCCCGAAAAGACCTCGCCCAGCGACCATTAACGGTCTAATAAAGGAAGCAGACTCAGGAAGGGAGAGATTGAAAGACCTTCCAAACGCGACTGGTGCTCACAAATGTGGAGCCCAAAGTTCGCACAAAAAGAAAAGACAGCGGAATCTTTTCGAAGGCATGTAGGAAGGCGTTGTTCAACTTGTAGTGGACACATCAAATATTTGGAGCAGAATTTGCGCTGCATGCTACTGATGGATTTAATGAAGTCCGTCACAGTCTTACTGATTGATGACTATCAAGTAATCAAGATGGTACAGGGCCGCGATTATATGACTTGTTAACGGCAAACGGCACATACAAGGACAACGAAATCAGACATCTGACAATATGCCAAACAAAATATTATAAAAACAACGGCCAAATCCAGTCCAAGACGGATGTAAACTCTACTCCAAAACATTTCCCGGAACGCTTCGTCCCACGCCTGTTCGGAACAAAACAAACGCTTCTCCTGTGCCTTTCCGCAGCCGGTGCGATCAAAGTGGAAGCGTAACAGTACCCCGATCACTACATCGCGTTCACACGACACATGCGTGCTGTGCCGGCGTTAACACACCCTAAGCAGGTGTTACCCTCAATAAGAGGGTCACGTGGCCCAGTCGACCAGCGCAGGACCGTGGAAAACCCAGTCAGCGGCCCGGCGATCACCAGATGAGGAAATCTCACAGACGACACAATTTTTGGGCTGCTCCTAACAGGTCCGGTGAACCGTTGGGCCCATTTTACCCAAACACTGCCCGCGGGATGAGGTCACATCAGGCTATAAACACGTCAGACACTGAGATAAGTATAATTTAGGGAGTGCATCTAATCGGTAATGTAGATCCGGCCTGAGCTGGTTTAAAATCACATCATCCAGCAGCTGATGTAACTCACGAATTTGAAACATAATTTCCTGGCTTTGATTTTAAGGAGCAAAGAAATATGGACTGAAAGCGTCCTAAGAAAGCAGACCTTGCGATCAAATACAGGCAAACGTTACACAGACCCTCGTGAGATCGAAACTTAGCCAAATGAACCTTGAAATAATCAATCGAAACAATAGTGTGTGCGGATTATTCAGCTTTGCCCAAAGAAGAATCACAGAAGAAAAAGGACATTTTGTCGGATGTACCTACTTAATGTTGTTTTCCCACACGCTGAACACAACCGAGGTGGGTGACGGGCAAAGTGTATCGCATTACGCACCGGTTTTCACAAGTCAACAACATCTATGTAATTATGAAAACCCGCTGACATGATGCATAGCTGTCAACCCAGTTTTCCTATGTCTAGACCTAACCGACTTTTGTAACAAGTAACTTGTACCCACCACAATAATATCAAAAATGACAGGTCCCAGGCAAACTGTTTCGAAATTCCCCCTACGCAAATCCATGGTGCTCGCTATTAACACAAAAAGCGTGAATAACCTAGAAACCACCACTACAAAATACCCCAAGCGCGTCTTCACCGACACAGGAAAACCATACACCACAGTATTAGCACACCACCCAGCTTGTTAAGCCGCCTGTGTATGTAGTTCCGTTTTACCCACGAACCACATCCGTAGCATATGACTCGGCCATCCGGGGGCAGCACACGGACCGCACACCGCGAACAGAGTGCACATACGTGGAGTCACGCGGGTGCCGCCCCCACACGAGCCTCCTAAGTGATCTCACACAGGTATGACGGTGGGAAGACGCCCACGCGTCGGCCGGTGACCAGTTCTGACCCACGGGTGTACTCAGAGAGACACCGGTCACCGCACAGGGACAAAAATGGTCACAGCCAGCCGCCCCGGCCGCCGTCAAAGCATGCCGACGCACGGCGCTTTATGTGATGAAGAGAGCGAGTGACCGGCTGGTCAACTCAGCGGCGATGCCACAGCTTTACATAGGCTGTCAAAGTGACCATTATTTTAGCGCCATTCACTCCCCTCAAGTCGATGCGAAGAGAGTCGTTTGCAACTTAACTGCGATACACGAAAAGAATGCTCAAAGCATTGAATATCATGATTAACCAATGTTAAATGAGATTTGTCCGGGATAAGCACTTGTAAAATGACTAGAATCAGGCAATACGACCTTCTTATAGGATATAATTACGCGTGACAACTATGTAAAAGCTTACTGTCATGCGAGCTAAGTTCTCACCTAACCTGACGAGCTGATTAAAATTATGATCTCACAGTACCAGTCACTCCAAAAAGGTCCTATGGATGAAAGAAGCGAATGATTCTTGCCCGGTTCGTCCTTTATCATTTCGGGTTGCGTCACCGCAGTAATCACTGTGATCTGCGGCCTTTTGAAGGACGCTTGACGGGAAAACCACCATGCAGAAAACTTTTTAGAGACTCTCCCATGCCGCAGCATCCATGTGACCGCTAAGGCAGTAAGTGGTCTTCTGTAGGACGACGTGTAACGGAAAATTCGATTTTTTTACAGATAGTTCCGCAACATCTCTGAATTCGGTCCATTGGGTTGCATCAATTCGAGGCTCACCCATTATTGCGACGACGCTAAATCTTGCGCCTTACGCCTCACCTGAGATGAGTTAGGCTCGAATATGATGAGCTGTTTCAGAGTTCAGCCATCCAATATAAATATAAATAGGTTACTCAGGGGCCAGGAGTTCGGTATGCGACTATTACGGGTCAGTACGGGTGCACAGCGCTGAGGGACACGGGGCAGTACCCACAGCGCGGCTAAGAGACACAGGGGGTATCCACAGCGCTGAGAGAGACACAGGAGGCAGTACCGGGCCCACAGCGCTGAGGGGCACAGGGTCAGTACTATTCCATACTCTGGCTTCGTCACCCCGTTACAAGGGACGGGGAAGTCCTCAGAGGTCGTTCAGACCACGCCAGGCCTTGCTGGGTTACCTCTGGCACGATTCACCCGCCCGAGAGAAGCAGTGACCGCCAGATGAAACCAGACTCGCCTCCCACCATGACTCGGGAATGGTCCCGACTGCCGGCACGTCTCTTTGGCATGCATAAATTCACCGCCCGACCTCGACCGACCGCGGTCACTGAGGCCACTCCATCTCCGGGGTAGTCCCGCCGACATACTAGAGGCGCGTCTGTCATCCTAACGTTCGCAGATTGTGGGAGGGGTAGAGCAAACCGCGTGGGTGAGTGGCAAGTGTCAATAAGACGTTCAAAGACCGTTTGCACCAATAGAACGTAGGCGTGCATACTGAGGGCCCAAGACCACAGAGCTCAACTAAATAAATGCCCGACAGAACCGAGGTGTAGAGCCACAGACGAAGCTCTGAATTAACCAACTCCAGTATAATGCCGAGTGCCATTTCAGCTGACTCGTGCCCATATATGACTGTGTGGTTTTGGGCGTCGCCGCAAAGCCGCGAACCACACGGTAGTGGGTAACAGCAGGCACGCACGCTGCAGCCCGGCACGTGGCCGCCGGGCGCCGGGTGGGAGAGTTAACCTTGTAATGAGTACCTCACGATCTTCTGACCCACTACCGATAGAAGGCCGAGCGAACATGTAAAGTTCCCGCTTTCCAAGGTACGCTCGAATATCATGCTGCCACCACATAAGCTGGATAAGATGATTACACGCCTCGTTATCTGCGGTTCATTGTGTGTCATATGTGATTAAGAATTTCCCTGACCAGACAGGAAATTCTGACCGCGCTCATCAGCTACTTGGTCATATGGTAGTGGGTAGACAGAAAACTCCATTAATCCTTGTGAAGAACAGTCCTGCATTATACTTTGACCAATGATCGATTCATATACGCCAGCTCACCAGCGCATAACTGACTGCTTCGTCACTTCTAGGCGGGCGGTGTTCCTTCTTATGGCAACAAAGAGCTTTGCGATGAAGTTCAACTAAAATGGAAAATGCTTCCGATCGTCGATGTTTGTGTGATAAGAATGCAGTAAATGGTCTCGAAAGATGAATCTGCATTATCAGAAATGCCGGAAAATGGGTCAGTGGTGATTCCGCGCAAAACTATCGGACAGTCGTAGAAGATAAACATCAATGGAACTTTGCGGATTGCTTTCAAACTTCGTAGGATAATGTATGTTTACAAAAGACCTCGCAATAATTCCGATTACGCGACATTTATAGAAGCCGATCCGTTACCTTCAGTTTCGTAAGATGGGCGTAATTTCTTTCGAATATGACGGTTTCAGTTAACAGCCTTCCATCGACAAAGCATAAACATTGAACAGTCGGTGGACTGATGAAATCAGATTAAAGACTTATCATGAAACTAACGAATGACTCGGCGGAGTTTCCAATTAAAATCGCCCTGAATCGCCCTGACGTCTGCCACTGAATCAGCCTGAGCATGCACATTTGCGAAATTAAGTCTTTAAAGACGTAACTTATCGGTCACACGAGGTCCTTACGAAAGCTCTACAAGTTCAAAGCTCCGGACAAGTCACACGTATACACAATCCCTTAATTTACGCTACCATACCAACCCAGCACAGATAACAGAAGATATACAAAGACACAAAAATTACACAACTGTCCACACGAGCTTCAACAGCCCTCCAAGCCTGGCCTATGTAGTTATAAGCAGCACATCCCATCTTCATCCCTTTCCGCACTCACCAGCACGTGCCAGACGTTCTCGTTGGCGCCCTCGAAGCTGCAGAAGCGTATGCTGACGCCCAGCAGTCCCTGGCCGCCCCACACGTTCGACGGCACGATCTTCACCTCGCGCACGCGCTGCGTCTTGCTGCTGTAGACCATCATCTTGGTCTCCTTCTCCACCTGCTGGTTCAACAGCTTCTTCAGCGTGTCGTCGTCTACATCCTGCGAGAAGAGAAGAGAGGAAGGTCTATCGGTATGTGCGAGGTAATCGGGTGCAAAAGTTTCCGCTTCAACATTGCTGCGAAAAATCCCGATTCGAAAATACGCAATGCTGCGAGTTTAGAGGAAGGAATTTCAAGAAGATTTAGCAAATCCAATTACGATGGGACCTTGTCACGCCATTCTCCAGTGAGCTTTAGGCAGAGACTGCATTCTCAGGTTAAACCGCCTCCATGTGAGGGGTGATGAGCCTGATCATAGTCGTAGGAGAGGGTTATAGAAGACCTTGACCCCCGTATTTTGAACACAATTTCACTGAACTCTTACGTAAACTTGAATAAAAATAACAACCATGAAACATTCGCAGGAAAAATAAGGTGAAACATCTAACCATTTAGCACGGGCTCCCTGAAATTCCAGTCCACCGTCCATGAACCCGACCCTCAGAATTTCCTAGTCTGCCTGACGCCAGTCTGCGAGCGGCTAGCACCCAACTCCTGCTCGTCGACAGGAAATCCGCGTCGGTGACGGGTCTCGCGCCCGGAGCCCGTTTATTCATCCAGTTCACAACTTCTCTTGTGATTCAGAGTCTATCGGAGAACTCTGCCCCGGGAAGACCTAGGCCACGGCCGGATAAACCACACCCTAACCACATAGCGTCGGGCCGTAAAGGTGCCCAAACGCACACATAACGCCCACTCCAGCCATCCCAACCACCCGCGGGGATACATTAGCATGCCACCCAGACCACACGTAAACTACAAACGACTACTCTGACGCATTATGGCATATCCTCCAGACGTATTATTCATGGTAATCGTAGGACTTCAAAGGCACCGACAAGCGTCGTATAATATGGAGCTTTTGCTTTACATTCAAACCTGATAGCCCTGGGCATTATTTGGAAAGAACATGAGACAGATCAGCCTTCAGTGAGTACTACAGGCGAGACCAGTGCGGCACCGCCATGGATCGGCCCGGGACGACTGTGAATCACTACACGTTCAGCCTAAGGTGTAACCACTGGCATATCCTTGTTGGACGTGGTCAATTGTGAATATGTGCTGACACATCAAAGGCGTCATACATTAATGGCATCTATGTATGTGATAACTTTGTGAATGCATCCTCCCCCCTCCAGAGTTCCGTCTTTCAAAAAACACGATAACATTTGCACACCACTTCTCGGGCACGCAAGCGCATGGCACCGGCCTCACCAAACCTCACAGGAACGACCTTGCACAAACTGCGCCTCATCCTTTTCGGACCGACATCCCGGTGGGAAGTTCGCCCAGATCGAGTGGACTTACCAGGCGGGTGTTCTCGATAGCCAGGATGAAGTCGAAGAAGGCCTCCAGGCCGGCTCTCTGTCCTGGAGAGTTATCCTGGACCTGGCGACAGAGAAATCATTAGGTCAAGGGGGAGAGTCGCGGGGAGACGCATATTACATAGTGCTTGTTGGCAGTGTTAGTTATAACTTCCAGTGAAGGACATATTGAAGAAGAGAGATAGAAGGGCGTAATAGGAAACAAAATTCAAGGCACTGTTCGCCAACAGACGCGGATCTGTATTGTATCAAACATGCTTCCATTGCGTAAATCCACACATAGTTTTCACCAAATTCCCACAAGTCGGGTAACATCAGCACCGCTGTGACCTCAGACAACCCACTACGCCTCCCATAGTCAGGGAAGCGCCTTGAAGAAAGCACCGCGGAAGCTTTGATATCTCTCATCACGCGAACTACCTCAGCACGTGCAGAAAACAGGTGTCTCTCAGCGCCTCCATACTGACCAGAAACAACTATCGCTGACACCATCTCATTCAAACAATAGTTGGGTGAACAGCCGTAGGGTATCACACAATACCTGCCGCTTGCGTGCAGATAGATGCAGTCCAAAGGTCTGTGTCACACACACCACAGGATTGCGTCAGAGTGGAAGTAAAGAGAAAACTGCACACGAGGCGACAGCAAAGTAGAGCTGCCAGCTGTCGAATGCTGCCAGTGCACAGCGAAGACATAGGGGCTTTGCTGTTGTTTTAGCTCAGAACTGGGCGTGTATGCTGAAGTATTGAAGGCGTGAGGCTATCAACGTAGCTGAAACCCTCTATCTTGAGAGCTGATCTGCCAGGTGCTGCATCGGTCGAATTCACCGCAAGGACATGAACATACGACGAACCACACATCCCGTGCATGGAATGCTTCCTTCTGGTATGTGCGATATGGGCAGAACGAGGTGGTATTGGCGAAAACATTTCCCTAAGATACACGAGACTCCATGTTTCTCACGATGGACCTTGATGATAAGACAATCGTAACAATTTGCGGGTTCCATCGATGTTCAATCATTAAAAAATAAGGGTTTAACTCTTACAAACATGTCTATCAGCTACTACAGCATACTGCAGATACCAAGGCAACTCTACCATTTTATCTATGAAAATGTGGAGACTGGAAAACGTGAGCAAACATCCGGTGGTATAGGTATTGCCTGCGATACTAAGGGCGTGCCAAGGGCTTTGATCCTAAATGACCAGAAATAATGGATTGGCACCGAAAAGAAAAATGCACGTTTGCACCATTACACCGCTCTTGTCAGGAATTTAAAATATACCGCAAAACATTTTGTGATAGAACATTGTACAATGATCTGGGATTTCAGTATGAATGACAGATCAAAACAATCTGAGCTTTCACATGATAACGGAAATCTGCAGAGAAGCCCTCAGTTTCTCCAAACCAGGCATTGTTTTCTGGCAATCACCGGGTTCAGTTTTCAGTTTTCATGTTTATACTTCAACCACAGGAGGCATCATGTGACATGTGGTCGCAGACAAACGTCTAAAAAATGCAAGGACCAAAAGACAACAATGACAGGGGTACCGAGTCTACTGGGACACAACAAATCACAACAAACAAAGATGATCCAAAGCAATGGGCAGTGTGCTGAAAAAAAATATCGGAAGCCGAAGGCTTGTCTTCATCATCCGCCAAATTTTACTGCGAAACTCAAACAACGTCTTGCCGAACGCTTTTGTTGGTACGCGAGCATAGTTTAACTGTCAAATGGCAAGATCATTCACCAATGCATCCTCCCCCTCGTGTGTAACGTTCAATATGTCGTCATCTTGTTCTACAAACAGACTCTTCTTATACATAGACTTGCAACGATCCTAACAGCACTGATTCGTTCTCAGTTGCGATAGCTTCCTCACGCCCCAATGAACTCCAACCTCCCAGCGGACGCAAACGCATCACAACGAACAGACACATAGGGCGACTGTTTCAGGGTAATAACGAGACGCCTCCCCCATCCAGTACCTTGAATCCGACCCTTCCAGGACCAGCGACCTGGCTCCTGGGAGGCCGTCGTGGAAGGGACGGCTGTCCGTAGCGGGCCCGTGTGGTTTCAACTCCGCGACTTTCGGCGAACGTGTAACCAGGACTGTTCCATCTCATAGCAAAATCTCACAGAAAACCTTGCGGCCACCCCAAAGGCCGGCCTGGGGCTTTCACTGGCGCAATTCTAGGCGTTCTCCTTGTCTACCCCATCCAGATCCACTGACCCGTCCCGCACCTGGTTAGGGAGATGACAGAAACTGCCTACCTCTCGGAACGGGACCCACATAGTCAGCCGAGCGGCCGCCGCCGCTCGGTACTCAAAACCATACACTCCCTCGGCCGCGGCAGCGCCGGAGGGCTCAGCGGACGGGTAACTCCACGGTCCACTCAGGCGGCTCCCTCTCATCTCACCGCCACCGTCGGTGGCAGACCGCTCGCCGCCCACGGCACGTGCGCGGCCACGCGGCGGTAAACCCGGCGGAAATCGCCAATCGAGCCCGCACTCCACGCCTCACGGAGCCGAGAGCGGGTGGACAGGTGCCGCCGCGCGCAAGAGCAGGCCCGAGAACCGCCCCAAACTGGGATTTACGCAGGATGTCGCCGCTGAAATAGCCGCACGATCAAAGACTCACTTCTGGGAATACGTTCATAGGTGGAGAGCGTTGCAAGGTTAATGGTCAGCCAGCCCCCGCCGACTGGCAAATCGCGGAGCGCCAACGCCAGGTGACAATAGCGCCGCATTCGTCGCAGTACCGCACGGCTTTTGTTGACGTGGTTACGGTTGCATGACCGATGGGGTTCGCAGAAGGAGATTCAGTGTCGAGGCAAGAGGCACGATTGCTAAACTAGGGAACTAGCAGGGCTGCTGACTGATTTAGCTAGCTCCCCTCCGTGCGTACGGTCCAACCGTTCCCGTCATATTACCCTTCTAGTCTATACCATGATATTCCCGGTGCGTCGTCGACAGTCGGGACATAACGCTACACCTACACCCCAGTGCACCTGCACCGAGAACCCCAATCTCCAGCCCCGAAAAGGAAGCTGCGAAGAGGCCCGCATAGGCAGAGGTCCTGTTCGTCTCGAGGACAGGACATAGTTCTTGATAAGGTTTTACGCTAGCTCGATCTGTACGGGAAATTCATGGCAGAACATCCGGGCACGAATATTCCGAGCAAAACGTGGAAATTCAAAAGAATAATTCCCGCTACCGGTGACCGAAATAAGGCATGGAAGTTACGTGACATGATATGGCGAAGCCACAAATCTCCGGCTAAAGAAAGAAGATGTGCTCGAAAGACATGCAACCATCTAAGACGGTATTGCCTTATAAATCAAAACAAAAATGCTTAGTGCGCGTTAATCACGGCATTGAGCGAACACACCAACCGCAAGAAACACAATATTACATCATTTTCCTTATACTGTCGCATGTCAACCCATTAACCCGCGCCCCGCTGGGCTATTCAGCCATACGCGCCCTGCTGGGGGGGGGGGGGGGCAGATTCTGCCCCCCTGTCTAACTTCCGAACCGATGGTCGTAGAAAGACGGGGAAAACGGCAATCGAAAGCTCTCAACAAGGCGGATCTTAAGAGCCCAAATTTTTTTGCTTAAGTAGGTCAGAGGTCAGGTCAAGGTCAGGTCAAGGGTACAAGATGCAAGTTTCTACAGTATCGGCCTTGCACCGTAGTTGCCGAAGAATGGACTGAGACTGATTGCCCAAAACGTGTTCTTAGACTACCAAGACAATATTCGATGCATACAATGTCATTCAAGGGTCAAGGTCAAGGTCAGGTCAGGTCATGTCAGGTCACCAAAAACAAAATATAGAAAAGGGCATGTGCGACACATGTTTTATGGGTCATTTTACTCATAGAATTCAATAGGCACACTCAATAAGTGATATGGACCACCTCTGGATGAATTTCAGGTCGAGGTCAGGTCAAGGTCAGGTCAACTGAGGTCAAATTTTGAAGTTGGTTTTTAAGGCCTAAAAAGGTGTCTATCTGATGCAGTTTTTGACGGCGAATCGAATGGTGCTATTTTTGTTTCCGTACGAGGTCTAGAACTTCCAAAAAAAATCATTTTTCAAAATTTTTGTGTGTCGTGACGTCATAAAATTTTGAATAACTTCCACATTTTTGAACCGATTCTTCTAAAAATTGGTATGTAGGTGCACATAGACCACTTCTTTGACATATATTCCGGTTTTTTCGATACACCCAAAATTTTGGATTTTATAAATATTTTCCCAAAAAAGTCAGTTTTTTGAAAAAAATTGGGCCAAAATCCAAAATTTTCAAAAAACCGAGATAGCCATTTGATAGACAAAGTAGAATCACGTATAACCTTTTTTGTTGCGTCTTGATTCCTTTAAAAATGACGATGTTAGCGGCGTTTGAAATTTTGCCATTTTTGAGGCGAAAATGGCGAACATGACGTCACTTAAACGTCATTTTCTCAAAAATTTTCCGACGGATTTCGCTAAAATTTTCAGGGAACGTGTCAAATTGATGTATGATAAGGTACTGAAAGTTTGACGTCGCTGGCGTAACGCGTTTAGAAGTTATTGACGAAAAACGGGAGGGGGGGGCAGATTCTGCCCCCCCCCCAGCGGGGCGCGGGTTAAGTACCGTTATTCAAGAATTGTTTGACCTATCCATATAAGCGAGCATGTGTATAGTCGTTGGGCAGACATTATCGTAAGACTGACGTAAACGCCAACCGCCACGCCTCCGTAGAAGGAATGCAGTACCTACTAATGACATCAACTGTCACAGTATTCAAGGTATGCTGACAAAGAACACACGACGACAAGATGGGAAGCATGCTTCAAGTAAACAAGCATAGGTTGCAGGCAAGAACTTACTTTGCCAAAAAAATAAAATTGCAACAAAGCTTAAACCATGACTTTGCAATTTGAAATGCCAATGCTTTTGCTCCAGTTTCAGTCCTTAGCTCTCATGAGATAAAGCTGTTTCCTGTTTATCAGAATAAGGCACTAAAAATATTTACAATTTGCGTGCCTTCCTTCTCACTGCTCGACATAA